TCTGCTGGGGACCTTGTTGAATTGACCTTTGCCTTTAGGAGGGAGGAAGCCTGAGAATCAGTGCCCTCTGCTCCTTGCACCCCAGGGAGCTCTAAGGATGACAAGTTCTTTAAATCCCCGAAACAAACAAGTTCCAAAGCCACATCGGATAAAGCACATCCTACTAACCTGAGCCAAAGAAAATTGTCAAAACTTGTTTTGTCCCCACTCAGGAAACAGGACAAAACAGATGCTACATTCTAAGAAATCATTTTTTAAGCAACGGTTCTTTTTAAATAGCTCTAGTCCCAGTTACTGAGACCCAGTATATTCTTTCAACAGCGACAGAGCCACATCAGAGACACTCACTGTTTATAAACAAGGCATCTCATTTTAAACACTGATTCAGGCTGGTTTTCTTTCCCTCTCACCCATAAACATGATTTTGACTGGATCTGTCTGGGCTCCGGGTGACTGGCACGTGATGGACAAATGCTATTTATTGGGGTAGACAGTGTGGCCTCAAATGTATATCTTCCTTGAAAAGGCCATTTCTTTTTCTTTCCTATGGATTTCTGTCACCATGGAAACCACCCAACAACCAAGACTGGAGACTAGGGCCAGCTCTCTACTTCCTGAACCTACATTGCCCTGATAGCGTGGCCCAACAAGGCTGGAAGTCCTGAAGGATCACTTATCTTAGGACATCTGTCTTTCTCTGGGCTTGTAGTGATATTGTAATGTCAGTGTTCTTCAGATGATGGACAGCAGATCCCTTTGAGGACTAGGAATAGCCAGAGTCTCTTAATAAGTTGGTGATTTCAGTATGGAACACAAGTGGGCTAGAAAGGAAAGCCTGCTTTTGTTTTATATTTTCTTCTTTTTGAAACAAAGGAGAGAAATTCTGAGGTTGAAAAAATACTTGAGGGAGAGTTAAACCAGGTGTCTCTGTTCTCATCACATGCAGCAGCAGCAGTATCCACCTGTGCTTACTGTGCAGGACCAGTTGTTTTCTGTGCACCTTCTCTTTCAGCCTGCACCACAGCTCAGTAGTCTGGGTTCTTATTATCCCCATGCAACAGGTCAGGAAACTGAGACTCGATGAGAACAGTCCATTTTCCCAAGCTGTCTAGAACCAGGTAGCACGTCGTTCTACTGCGCATGGGCTTGCGGTAAGTCAGGGCCAAGACGCTGGCAGCAAGCAGAATGAAGAAGCGGAATCAGGACAAAAATTCAGGCCTGTCGTACTACATAGCTTGGGTCTCTTCCTTTGGAAAAGCCACCTATTCTCAGCCTCACTTCTTACTGCTGGTACACATCGGCACTTGGAAGGCTTAGAGAAGCCCCTCCAAATTCA